GGGCCCCGAGACACCACGAGGCCTCCATACGGCTTTCACAGACGCCTCGACACCCTTACTATCAGGACCAAGATCCCACTCACGGTTGCCACCCTCGCCCCTTCAAGACTATCACCGTGACCTGCCCTCCTCAGAATTGCCGACAGCCCTTTTGCGATCATGATTCGAGCCCCATACCACAGCGATGACATCAACCTCAATCAAGGTTCGTTGTGACCCCCCTCGGATCATGACCTTTACCCCCCTCGCGCTCATCTCACCGGTCCCGTTCCCAAACCACGGGCATCGTGGCCCCAGCCCCAGTTCAGGCCCTGCTGGGCCATGACCTTCACCCCGTTGGCGGCCATGACGTACACCCCCATCGACCTCACAGTCGTCACCCAGAGTGGGGTAATGCCATACCCCGCCATCGAGCTCCTCACCTTCGCCTTCGTGGCAGCCCTGCCCTTCCCTCGTGGTATGAACATGCCGATGGGCTCCATCCAGCCAGTGACCCGCACCCCCCTCGTGTTTATGATCTTTCCGTACCGATGTGATCTTTGGCAGCCACCCAGCAGCGCTTGGACGCAGGACCAAGATTTGAGGCGAAGCGAAGCAAGCCTTCAAGTCTTTTTTTTTTTTTGTTTTTTTTTTGTTCTCTCTCTCTCTCTCTCTCTCTCTCTCTCTCTCTCTCTCTCTCTTTATATGTATGCACATCACATATGTGTATATATAGATATGTACACATTCTCTTCTTCGTATAATTTGTATAGGGCTTGGGACCCCAGAGAGAAGGAAAAAAAAGCCCCCCCCCCTCCCCCCCCCCCCCCCTCCACACACACACACACACACACACACACACAACACACAACACACACACAACACAACACACACACACCCACACGAATTCGACCCACCCTGGGCCTCCCGGGAGCACCCCACGAGAGCCTGAAAACGGAGCCCCAGGCGGCGCTCTTGCGCGCCCCCGAAACGATGAACAGTGGGAAACCGACCCCAGCCCCCACAACGATGGATTTTGCATGTCAGCGTTTTACATTTACGGCGAATGAGCGTAAGTGTAGGCGCACATTGCCAGCTGCCGCAGGGGGGGCCCGCGCGCGCGGCGACGTACTGGGCCCGCTCGACGCGGCCGCGCCCGCGCTGGCATTCCCAGGGCGGCGCGTGCCACGGCCGCGGCTCGCAGTTTGAGGCGACGGCGGCGCTGTCCCTCGCGCGGCAGCGCCGCTGGCCCAACCGAGGGTTCCCGCGCCCGCCTCCGTGGCCCCCCCTGACCCGCCCGCGGAAAAGTTTAGAATGGGAGCGTTTCTCTTAAGGCAACGGGTCCAATCTAATTCTTTGGCGTTTCTATAAGCACGTTATTCTGTTTATATAAACTGTTCGGGGTCCTCCCGCGCGAGATTTCCTGCTTCGGAAAAGTTTGCATTAATTGTATGTGGAGTTGATATAAACTTGTTTCGCCCAGTGCCAAAACTTAGTTGTTGGTGTGGATCTAACCTTTTCGATGCGCGCCCGCGCGGGGCGGGCCCTGGACGCCGCGCGGGGTTCTTGCCAGCGCCGCCGAGGGCCGACGCGCCCGTTGGTTTTTGCCCTGGCGCGAGCGCGCAAATGTCCACAATGATTTTGGGCATGGACCGCGTGCCAGCACAAGGAAACGCCAAGTTCAAACGCCAATGAGCATGGCAGCAACGCGCCGTTCGCGTTGAATGTCGCGGCGTTGTCGTTGGCTGACCGTCGAGCAGTTTCCGCTCTCAGTTCGCGCGTCGTTTGACGGTCCCATCAGTCTAAAGTTCTTCATGTGGGGTGTGGGGAGGCGTTTTTTATGTGTTCAAACGACCCCAGACAACCCCCAAAAAAACCATACCCCCAAAGATCGTTCCAAAACGTCCCAAGACAAGAACACTTCCAAGAAGGCCTCCAGAGGCAAGAAGCATTGATTTTCTGTTGGTTTGTTTTGTGATTTTTGGTGTTCTCCTCTTCTCGGCTGCCCGACGCTCCAAGACGGCGGTTTGCAGGGCGTCCGAAGCCGCCTGGGAGGCTCGAAAATCGCCCCACAACAATCCGAAAGGGCGTCCAGGCAGTCCATAAGAGCCCCAAAACGGCACAACAGTGTTCCAAAACGGCCTAGCTTAATGGAACCCCATGACGGCCCAAGATGGCCCCAAGACGCCTTCCGAAACATTCCGAATCGTGACCCGGCTGTTCAGGAAAACCGCGTTTGGAGGCAGGGTGGGCCGAGGAAGTCCCCAGAAGACGCCCAGGAGGCCTCCAGAACGTTTTTGAAAATCTTGAACAGCTTTTGAGAGGCCCCCAGAGGCTCTCCAAGGAGGAGCGTCCGCAAAAAGAGCTGAGGAGGATGGGGAGGAGACGCAGGGTGTGGCGAGAATGAAGAAAAGACATGGATGAAAGAAAACGAAGCACATTGTTATAACGGCGTTGCCAGAAGGCAACAAGGAGTTACCGCTAAATTGTTGGCTCGGCCTTCCTGCCATTCCGCCGCCTACATACCAAATTTCGCGGATCAAGGTGCATGGCGCGAAGCGCCAATGCAGTCTTGTGTGTACATGCGCACATGTAGATCTATAAGTACACACAATATGTTACCGGTTTGCTGCGCTTCGCCGTTGAAGTCTTAGTCGCGTGGCGCGCGCAAGGTGCGCCAATGCTCCGACCGCGTCTCAAGTGTCCCTGCGGCCCGCGCGGGCACGGGGAGCTTCCCCAAGAATCTCAGGCCGGCCTGAGTTTTTCTTGTGGGCTCAAACTCCAAGCCTCAGAGCCAGCACGTCGGAAGCCTGGACATGCGACCCGACATGTCTGCAGCCTTGAGGGCGACGACGTGCCAGGGTGCGGGAGAGATGCGTGCAACGATGGCGTTGTAGCCCCCCCTCGCGCGTGGTTGGCCAAACACGCGTGCTGGAACTACGGGGGCGCGCTACGCACGCCGGTGGCAACGCTTGCGAAACGCGCAAAGGGCTTCGAACAGCTACCGAATAATTCCTTAGAGGCTTCCGAAAGCATCCACAAAAAAACACGGGGGCGAAGCGCGACGAAGGCGAACGCATCAATCGTGAGTTGGCGCTGCGCGACGCAGAAGTGTAGGTGGCGCCCGCAGGCAAGTCGTAAAGGGGGGCCGTAGCTAGGGTGTCTTGGGATGCACTTTTGTGGGCTTCTTGGAAGCTCTTTAGGCCTCTTGAGGGCCTTCGAGGCGCCTTGTTGTGCACGTCTTGGGCCCTTTTGGGGAGGCCTTGGAGCTTGGGACAGAAGGCTCGAGGTGTCGGTTCGTGTTCCCCCTTCTTGGGCTGTCTTGGGGCTGGCTTGGGCCGGTTGGGGGGTCTCTTGGGCAGTCTTGGGGTCCTCGGGGGTTGTCTGGGGACTCTTGGAGCCCCCTTGGGCCGTCCTATGGCGATCCTTGGAGCTTCTTGGGCGTCGGGATGCCGAGAAAGCGAAAACACTGATACGCATGAAAAACCGATGGAAAACATACAATTTTTGATGCCAGAGGCTCCCTTGGAGACTCCCTTGGGGCTCTCTTGGCCCCTCTGGGGGCCTTCTTCAGGCTATCTTGAGGACTTTTTCGCCGTCGGGCGCTGTTGGGACCCGAGAAGCGAATTGTCGTGCGTTTGGGCCCTTGCAGGGCAGCGTTTTGAGGCATTCCTGGGCCGGCTGGAGGGCCTTCCGGATCGTCCGGCGTGCGGCCAATGAATAAATGTATGGTTGTTACCAAATTGTTCTTAGAATAACATTTGAAGTGAAAATGAACGAATGTATACGTGTATAGAGGTATACATGTATGTATGTACGTATGCATGAATGCATGCGTGCATGTACGCGTGACGTCTGTATGGATGTATGTATGTATGCATGCATGTATGTATGTATGTATGTATGAAATGTATGTATGTATGTTTGTGTGGCTGTCTGTCGATCTGTCTGTCTGGCTGTCTGCCTGTCTGTCTGTCTGTCTGTCTGTCTGTACGTACTATGCATGTATGTATGCATGTATGTATATGTGTATGCATATATACGTATATTTAGTAGGTGCATGTATGCACGTTTGCATGTATGCATGTATGTATGTGTATGTATGTATGCGTGCATGCATGTATGTATGTATGTATGCATGCATGTGTGTATGCATGTGCATGCATGTGTGTACATAGATGTGTTTGTGTATGTACGTGTGCACGTTTGTACATGTGTACGTATGTGCATATGTTCGTATGCATGCAGGCATGCATGTATGCGTGCATGCATACATGTATGTATGTATGTATGTATGTATGTATGTATGTATGTATGTAGGTAGGTAGGGTTATATATAATGGCTTTCGGCCCATCCCGCCGCCGCGCCTGGGTTGTAGGTCTGCAGCCTATTGGAGGTCCGTTGGGATCTCGTGGGGGGCTTTCAGGGCCTCTTGGGGGCCTCTTGGGGGCCTCTCCTCTTAGGGCCTCTTCGGGCGGGAAGCTCAGATTTTCGGTTCTTGTTCCCTATCTTGGGTCCCTGTTGGGGCCGTCTTGGGGCCCTCTTAGGCCGTCTTGGGCGCCTCTTGGGCCGTCTAGGGGCGCTCTTAGGCCGTCCTGGGGCCCTCTTGAAGGCCTCTTGGGCCGTCTTGGGGCGACATCGGGGGCTTCTTGGGCTGTCTTAGAGCGTCGGAAAACCGAAACGGCGAGAACTCCCAAATCCTTCAAAAAGTTAGGGCAAATCAACTGGCTTGGCCAGTGAGAAATCTGCAGTGCTCCTGGGCGCAGAACGGGCCTGGCCAGGGGTGGTGGATGCATGGATTTGTTTGCCCTGCGCTGCTTGCGGGGGAGCTGCAACCCACATCTTGTAAGCATGGGGCAGCCAGAGTGCCGGGACCCGCCCTTGCGTGGGACTTGGGCCGCATAAGGCAGGTTGGCATGGGAAAACATCCAGATTCTGCCCATCCCTGGTCTTGGGGTGGGCTGCATCCCGCTGCTCTATCTTGCTGGCCTGCTTTGTCGTTCTTGCCTGAAGGGCCCAGCCCGTTCCGACGGCCCTCCTCCCCGGAAGGCGCACAAGATCCTTGCCAGCGCTGCCACCACGGGGCGGCTGGGAGCCCCGAGCCCCTCGAGGTCGCCGTCCCGCCCACGCCGCCCGCGCAGACGATCCAGATCCCGCTCGAGGGGAGGCGCCCGCCGCGCGCGGTCGGGCGCGGCCGCCGCCGCCGCCGCGGCCGCCCGTTTTCGAACAGTTCTCGAGCCCCTTTCGATCTTTTCCGAACCAGGAGGTCCTCCTCTTTGTCGTCGTCCTCCTCCTCCTCCTCCTTTTCCTCCTCCTCCTCCTCCTCCCTCCTCCTCCTCCTCCTCATCCTCCTCCTCCTCCCTCCTCCTCCTCCCTCCTCCTCCTCCTCTCCTCCTCCTTCCCTCCTCCTCCTCCTCCTCCTCCACCTCCCCCTCCTCCTCCTCCTCCTCCTCCTCCTCATCCACCTCCCTCCTCCTCCTCCTCCTCCCCCTCCTCCTCCTCCTCAGATTACGAAGCAGAAAATATCGAACCACAGCAACAGGCAGATCGTCGTCGTCGTCGTCGTCGTCGTTCTGGAGGTCTTAGGTTTCTCGTCTGGAGGTTACTGTCGTCGGCGTCGGCGTCGTCGTCGTCGTCGTTCTGGAGGTCTTGGGTTTTTCTTCTGGAGGTTCCCGTCGCCACGGCTGGGCACTGCTCGGACGTCCGTGTACCCCAGAGTGGGGCTCGGGGCGCCATGTTCGAGCGGGCTCTTGCCGAGCCGGGAGGACCGACACGACAGACATGGGCACTCGGGGTTTCTGAATAAGCGCGGGGGGTACCCCCCCCGACGGGGGTCAACCTCGCCTCGTCGTCGCGCCGCGACGGGGGTCGGAACGCCTTTGGCGCGCGGTGGCTGCCCGCGACGAGGGTCGACGTGGGGCTGTCGGCGGGGGCGACGCCCCTCCCGACGCTTATCAAGAAACTCGGAGTACGGAAATCCAGGGAAGAAACTCAGGGCCCATGATCAAGATGTCGCAGGATCTTGCCGACGCCGATCTTTGTCATGGTCGATGCTGCCCGTCGCCGGTTCGGGAGGGTGGTCCACGAATGGACGTTGACCAAGATCTCGATGGACGGTGACCACGGTCGGCACCAACGTTTCCGCATTTACTCTTTGACATGACCCCCGCCTTCTTTCCCTCTAAGACAGAGCGGAGACGAAGCCTGACAGCAGCTCCTATCCTTTCTGAGCAGAGCTCGCTGGCGGTGCCACGGGCGTTGTCCATTTCGGACAGAAGGCCGCCTGCCCAACTGCGGCTGCTGTCGGTTTTAGACAACGTGTGCTGTTGGGCATCATGCCCATATGCCCCGTAATTATTTCTGGGTGTGTTAAGAGGACGACCTAGACCTCCAGGCGTCGTCGTCGTCGTCGCCAAGAACCAAGCGTCGTCTTCGTCGTCGTCGTCGTGGCTCTCGTCGCCATCGTCGCCGTCGCCCGAGCAGAATCGGCCGAAGCTCGGCCCCCAGACCTCTCCCGGGGCCCGTCCTGGCCAGATCTCTCCGGCCGCGTCCGGCCGTGGCGACGAGGAGCTCCAGTTTTGGGGCGTCTCTGAGACGCCCCAAAGCTGGAGGAGGAGGAGGAGGAGGAGGAGGAGGAGGAGGAGGAGGAGAAGGGGGAGGGGGAGGGGGAGGGGGAGGGGGAGGAGGAGGGAGGAGGAGGAGGAGGAGGAGGAGGAGGAGAAGGAGGAGCAGGAGGAGGAGGAGGAGGAGGAGCAGGAGGAAAAGGAGGACGCTCGCCAGTCGTCGCCTTCGAATCCTCCGACGTCCTCGTCGGCCTCGTCGGCCTCGGCCTCGTCCATGCCGTTCTCGTCGTCTTCCGTCGGCGTCCTCGTCGTCCTCGTCGTTCTCGCCGCTGTCCTCGTCGGCCTCGTCGTCCTCGTCGCCCCCCCCTCGGACAGGAGGAGGCGCCCGCCTCGACATGAGGAGCTCTGGGAGCTACCGGTCGCCGACGCCGGACGGGCGGGCCCGGGGGGCGGCCAGGGCGGCGCGGAAGGCCAGGCCGCCAGCTGACGACGACGTGCTCCCGCGGCCCTGCTCCTCCCTGCTCCTCCCTCCTCCCTCCTCCTCCTCCTCCCTCCTCCTCCTCCTCCTCCTCCTCTCCTCCTCCTCCTCCTCCTCCTCCCTCCTCCTCCTCCTCCTCCTCCTCCTCCTCCTCCTTCCTCCTCCTCCTCCTCCTCCTCCTCCTCCTCCTCCTCCTCCTCCCTCCTCCTCCTCCCTCCTCTCCTCCTCTCCTCCCTGTTCCTCCCTCCTCCTCCCTCCTCCTCTTCCTCCCTCCTCTCCTCCCCCCTCCCTCCTGCGTCCTCCTGTTCTCCTCCTCCTCCCTCATCCTTCTCCTCTCAGGCAGTCCGAGCAGGGCGCGCTCTGGCGCACGCCAGCACTCCGCACTCCCCTATGCCTCTCATCCCTCGTCTTCTCCTCATCCGTCTTCCCACCGCTTCTCTGATCCTCGCTCTCCTCGGCGTGGTTGTGGGATCCAATCCAAGAGTCAAGAGAACACTGTGGGTAATAGACGAGGAAGCTCGATGCAAGCAATGTGCCTCTCTCTATGCCTCGAGATCCCGATTGTGAGTGCGAATGTCTTCAGTGCCAGCAGCGGGTGCCGGGGTGATGTATCTAGAAGCGCATCTCGTTGCAGATGCGACTCAAGCCTGGTCTCCGAGGTATAAGCGAGCGGCCAAAATAGTTGGAACAAGTTACTTACGTGTTGACCCCCTCATGCTGTCCGCTAGGTGGAATCTCAATCACAGCCCTCCTCGTCCCTTCCTTCCTCATTCTCGGTTCTCCTCCCTCCTCCTCCTCCCTCCCCCTGCCTCCTCCTCCTCCTCCTCCTCCTCCTCCTCCTCCTCCTCCCCCTACCTCCTCCTCCTCCTCCTCCTCCTCCTCCTCCTCCTCCTCCTCCTCCTCCGCGCCCGCTCCCGTGCTCGCGGGAGCGCGTGGACGGACGACGGCGTTGACGACAAACTGTCTTCGTTTCGAAGGTGGCCTGGGGAGCTCGGAGCTCGGGAGCTTCTCGTCGCCACTGCCGGACGCGCCGTGGCCGACGCCGAGGGGACGACGACTGCGGTGAGGATGTCGTCGACGGCCGCGACGGCGATGGCGATTTGGGCCACGGCTGGGCGGGCTGCAGATGCGGCCAGGATGCATCCCTGGAAGGGTCCGGGATTTGGGGTCGACCTTGATCGGATCGACACCGACGACGGCGGTGGAGACGGCGCCAAGGACGACGACGACGACGACGGCCTTGGCGACGGCGGCATCGTTGACGACGACGACGACGACGACGACGACGAGGACGAGGACGACGACGACTGTGTTGACGGCGATCATGTTGCCGATACCGGCGACGACGACGACGTCGGCGTCTTGGCGTCGGCGGCGGCAAAAGGGCCCGCCAGCCTCAGGCGCGGATGATCGCCTCGCTGATGGGGATGCCTCTGTCCCGCTGACATTGCCCGCGGGCGGGTGGGGCGGACTGAGGCCACAGCGGGGGCCCGAGGATCAATGGTCGACGGCGCTTGATATCTGCTTGGGGGGGAGTTGGGGTGCCCTTGTTTTTTTTGTTGGGTGTTCCTTTGTGTAATTTTGCGATGTACGCTGGCTCATCCCGTTGGCAACTGTGTGTGTGTGTGTGTGTGTGTTTCTGGGGGTGAGGCTTCTCGGCGCCGCGGCTGGGTTACCTTCGAAAGTCGAGTCGAACTGTACCAGGCTCGAGGGTCGCGGGCGGTTCAAGGCTGAGGTCGAGGGTCGAGGATCGAGCGTTGGGGACCGAGGCTCGAGGTCTGAGGGACCGAGGCTCGAAGATCGGCGTCCGCGGAGCGAGGGGCGAGATGGGAGGAGACCAGGAGGGGTCCTGGAGGTGACCAGGGAGGAAGAGGACGAGGAGGAGTAAGAGGAGCGAGGAAGCTCTTCGTCCCTCTTCCTACTCCTCCTCATCCTCATCCTACCTCCTCCCCCAGAGGAGCGCGTACGGCTTTGGGCTTCGCCTCACTTCCTGTTCCTTCTCTTCCCCTCCTCCCTCCCTTCGGAGAGTCCTCGAGGAGAAGGGAGGGAGGAATCAGGAGGAAGTGTAGGATCGAGGTTCGAGAGCAGTTTTCTTGTTGAAAGTTGGGTGTGTAATGTTGGCGGGCTTCCGGGAGACAGCGAGCCTCACAGACGGCGTCTACGCCTTGCTAGCCAGCATCATGGAAACGGACTGCGTCCACGTATACTACAGTGGGATCCAAGTCGTAGACTTCCGCTCGAGATTTTCTCGGAACGAATGTGTGTGAGTGAGTGTGTATGTGTGAGTGAGTGAGTGAATGCGGACTGCGTGTGTATTTGAGTGGATGCGTGCGTGTGTCGGCGAGTGCGTGGGCGATTGTGTCGATGATGATGGTGGAGGTGGTTATGATGATGGTGATGATGATGGCCGGGGTCATGATGGGATCGTGATGGTGGCGATGTTGGTGGTGTGACTGTGAGTGTAGGACGAGGAAGGGAGGAGAGGGTGAAGTGTATGTCTGTGTGTGTTCCTTCGCGGGTTGTTCCTGTGAGGGTAAAGTTTGTGTGTGTGTGTCTTCTTGTGTGTGCTCCTGCGCGGAAAACGGGCGCTGGCGGACACGGGTCCTGTGTCCAGGGGGCCTTCTCCTGGGGACTTTTCTTCATCCTGGGTTGTTGTGTTTACGGTCCCATGGCCGGGGGAAAGATCCTTAGAGGCCAAACTCATTCCCAACCTTCCTGCGTTGGGCTTTCGTTATGCGTCGAGCGCGGCGGTCTCCGCCTTCCCGCCCCTCTCCTCTCTCCTCTTGCCTCCTCCTCTTGCCCTCTTCTTGGCTTGTACTTATTTGTCATCCTGACTCTCGAGTGTTGCTGGGGTGTCCAGTTGGGCGACGTCCCATTCAGATCAGATGGGACCCCGTCCTCCATGGACGGCTGCGAACTGCGAAACTGCCGCCACATTCGTGGGCTCCTGTGGGGGATCCAGCGGAGTGACGTCCTATTCACATTAGACGAGAGACCTCGCTGTCGCTTGGGGCTGCGAACTGCGAAGCTGTCGCCACTTTCGTGGGCTCTGGGAGGTCAAGCGGAGTGACGTCCAGGTCCGATATGATGAGACCTCGCCGTCGCTGGGGGTTGCGAATTGCGAAGCTGTCGCCACATCCGTGGGCTCCTGGGAGGTCCAGCGCAGATCATATGAGACCTCGCCGTCGCTGGGGGGCTGCGAACTGCGAAGCTGTCGCAACTTCTGTGGGTTCCTGGGAAGGCCAGCGGAGTAACGTCCTATTCAGGTCAGATGAGAACTCGCCGTTGCAGCGGTCGGCGAACTGAAAAACTGTAGCCACTTTCATGAGCTGCTGGGGGGTCTAGCGGGGTGACGTCCCTGTACAGATCAGATGAGGCCTCGCCGTCGCTTTGGAGCGCCACAGCGACATGGCGCGGGCCGCGTTGCTTGTCCAGCGTGCCACTGGAAAGGATTTTCCACCGTCTTCTCTTCCGTCCTTCTCCTGCCCATCGCTCTCACACGCATTTCCTGTTCGAGCCTGGTGCCTCGGTCTTTGTCCTTCTATTGTTGTCTTGTGAGCCGTGCAGAACGCACCCCGTTCAGCTTCCACAACACATGGCGGGCGGTTCCCCACCTGGGCCAAATCCTCCCCTGGGCCAAATCCTTTTGTCACTCAACGCGAATGGTCAGGGTACATTACAGAGTTGTTTGCGTGAAGGGCCCAGCCATGTGCAGTTATGAGTACTTCAGTTGTGAATATCGCTTTCGTTAGAGCCTCCTACGGGGCCACGAAATGTGTCAGGAGTGTGCCAGAGTTGGTAGGGCGGAAGCATGTGGACGCACTCGCTGCGGTCTCAGGTGGAGCTTCCGATGGGGGCACGGAACGTGTGAGGGTTTGCCGCAATGGATGGCGAGGGCGCATGTGGACACACCCAATGTCGCCTTAGGTGGACCTTCCCATAGGGGGCACGAAGCGTGTGAGGGGTGTGCCGAAACCGATGGCAGGGACGCATGTGGACACACCCAACGTGGCCATGGGTGAAGCTCCCAATGTGGGACAGCACGCGTTCCACGGGCGCTTGCCTTGGGAACATTCGGCGGTGCGTTTCAAACCGGGGGGTGGGCCCCCCCCAACACTCGGCGCCGTCGATCAAAACCAGGGGGACTCCCCTCCCCCCAACCCCCCCCCGAACCCCCACCCCCCAAGTCCCAAAGGAGAGGGGGGGTTCAAACCCCCCCGCCCTCGACGCCGGCGCCAGCGCTGGCGGCCGCCAGCAGCGCCCACGGTGGGGACGCAGCGACGATGACCAGAGGCAGCCCAGGGGGGGGGGTTCAACGCCCCCCCTGGTCCCCCTCGGCGCTGGCGCTGGCGGCGGCCAGCAGCGCCAGCGCTGGCGCCAGCGACGGCAGGACCGCAGCGACGATGACCACCACTACCCACACCACTACCACCACCACCACCAAACCACCACCGCCTCAACCCACCACCACCACCACCACCACCACCACCACCAAAAGCACCACACAACCACCACCACCACCACCACAGCCACCACCACCACAACCACCACCGCAACTCACCATCACCACCACCACAAAAACCCACTACCACTACCACCACCACCACCACAATCTACCACACCACCACCCACACCGCCACAACCACCGCCACCACTACCAGCAGCACAACCCACCGCCACCACCACACCACCACACCACCATCACCACCGCCACCACCACTACCACTACCAACGGCCACGAACCACCGCCACCACCACAAACCCACCACCACCACCACAAAACGCCACCACACCACCACAACCACCACCACCAACCACCACCACAAAAACCCACCACCACTACCACCACCACAATCTACCACACCACCACCACCACCGCCACAACCACCACCACTACCAGCAGCACGACCCACCATGACCACCACAAACCACCACACCACCACCGCCACCACCACCACCACCACAAGCATCACTTCCACAAGCCACAGCCACAAACACAATCCACCACCACCGTCACCACCACAAACCACCACCACACTACCACCAAACCACCACCACCACAACCCACCACCACCACCACCACCAACCACCACCGCACCACCACCAAACCACCACCACCACCACCACCCACCGCCACAACCACCACCACCACAACAAGCCACCGCACCACCACCACCACCACAACCACCACCACCGCCACCACCACCACCACAACCCATCACCACCACCACCACCACCACCACCACCGTCCTCGTCGACACTCCCCGCCACCCACCGCCGCCCGCCGCCGCAGGCGCCGGCGCCGGACAAGAAATGGAAATCGTCGCCCCCGCCGCCGTCGCCCAAGCGCAGCGCTGGCCCGAGGAGAGGGGAAGCAGGGGGGGGGCTCGAACGCCCGCCCCCCCCTCCGTCACGGGAGGGGTGGGTGGGTGATTCGAACCCCCCCCCTTTCCATTCAGGGGGGGTGGGTCCGGTTCCAACCCCCCTCCCTCCAAGCGACCACAGAACGCGCTCTTTCCTATGTGGGTACGAACCGTGCGAGGGTTGTGCCGACATGAGTGTCGCGGACGCACGTAGACACGCCCAGTGTGACTTTAGGTGGAACCTGTCTTGCAGTCACAAGGCGTGTGAAGGGTGCACCGAAATCTGAGGCGCGTGATGTATGCACATCTGGTGTGGCTTTCGGTGGAGTTCCTTCTGAGGGCACGTGCGGGCCGTGCCAGAGTTGGTGGCGCGGACGCATGTGACACAACCTATGTGGCCTTAGGTGGAGCTCGCAATGGCGGCACGAGACGTGTGATGGGTGTGCCGGCATGGGTGGCGCGGGCGCATGTGGGCACGCCCAGCGTCGCCTTCGGTGGAGCTCCCACTGGGGGCATGAAACGTGTGTGAGGTGTACCGAAATAGGTGGCGCTGGCGCACGTGGACAGACCCAGTGCGTCTCGAGGTGGCTTTATCTATTGGGGCACGAAGCGTGTGATGGGTGTGCCGGCATGGGCAGCGCGAGCGCATGTGGACATACCCAGTGTCGCCTGAGGTGGAGCTCTCCATGGAGGCACGAAGCGTCGGAGGGATGTGCCGACGTGGGTGGCACGGACGCACGTTGACACACCCAGCGTGGCCATTGGTGGAGTTCCCAATGTGGGCTCGTATCGTGCCGTAGCCATTCTAGCTCAAACCACTTGAGCATGTGAGTTGGCTCCGTCACATTTTCCCAACCGTATTCCGCACTGTTGCCATGGCTCGTGATTCTTGCGCGCTATCTGAAACACTTCGTGACATCTCGGAAGCTGACATCGTTGGCAAAGTGAAGTGGGCGCTCCGCAGGTTCCCTGTGCTGTACTTCATGGCTTGTGCTTCGTCGCCTCCGCCTCCCAAGGGCTCCAGTAGTCCGATCGAAGAATTGGCGGAGATGTGCTCCATGCTATCCCGCGCGGCTGGCGGTATAATTTCCCGCCCTACCGCGGCAAGCTCATTCTTACGTTCGATTGGCGTTGACGGTTTCGAGAAGAGGGTCTCCACATTGACGTCTCGTCGCAACCATGCTGCTCACCCTGATGGAGGTTTTCTTCGTGACGTTTCGACTGCGATTGAATGCGTTCCCCATGCAGTTCGTTCCCCGTGCGCTACGACGTTTCGGTCCTGTCGGGGGGGCGGTTGGAGTCGGGAGCGGGGGGCGGTGCTGAGTATGCAGAAGCTCTAGAGGTGCGGCCAGTGAGACCAGCGCCAGTGGAGCCAGCGATGCATGGTGATTTTGATGCGGAAGAGGAGGCCGCCTTTGTTCTCTTCGGAGGGAGAGAGCCGAAAGCGAGCAGGTCAGACGTCCCGTGCCCGCTGCGAGCTCCTCTGACGTTTTGCGACGCGTGTCGTCGGCCCTCCGAGAAGAGGAGGGCGATGCGGCGTTGGCCCCGCTGCCCCGGCATGGCGAAGTTTCTGGATCAGACTAACGCTGGGGGGAGAGCTGGCGGGCCACGGGGTTGCCTGTTCGCTCTTGAGGAGGCGATCCTGCGACCTCGCGCCTCACCTCCGCGGACAGCGATCGGTTTTCGGGCCGCTAGTGTGGCCGAGGCCTGGAGCCTCTCAACTGGTTCGTTTCGGTCCTGCGGCCATTCTAACTTGTGGTGGATGCGAGCAAAAAGACCGTCTTCTTGCAGACTGGGCAGACTACCGACTACCGACAAGGAAGTGCGCGCCACCGACGACCACGAAGCGGACACCAAGACGAACGACTCCTACTCTGACAAAATCGCCGCGAACTCCGACGACGAGCGTGGCGACCCCCAGTTCATTGGCGCGAAGGCTGAAGTACTTCCGAGATAAGAACTTCTCAGGTTGAGGATTGGTGGCCGATATCGATACTCGCAGGAGCGAGCTGTTCCTTGGTGTCCGCCTTGAGGACGGCACGCCTCGAGAGTTCGCGACTGGCCGCGTCGCTTTCGACGGCGACGACGGGGGCGAAGAGTGGCTCGCGCTTTCGATTATAGCACGGCTTGTTTCTCCCGTGGATTTCCGGGCTACATGTAGTGTGGGCGGGCGGCGGCCGGCGTCGCGGTTCAGATCTAATGTTGAAGTCGGGGTGAAAAAAATGCGGGCGCGAATCGCGCGGGGTGCGCGCCGACGTGGGCGGCGCGGACGCACGAAGAGACACCCAGTGCGACTTTGGGTGGAGCTCCTTCTGGAGTCAATGGGAGGCGCGGGATGTGTCCTCATCTGGCGTGGCCTTCGGTGGAGCTTCTCATGGCACGCGAGGGGCGCGCTGGAATCGGCGGTGCGGGCGCGCGCGAGACGTGCGATGGGCGCGCCGGAATTGCTGGCGCGGACGCGCGTGGACACGCCCAGCGTCGCCTGAAGGTCGAGTTCCCACTGGGGGCGCGACGTTGCGCGGGGCGTGCCGACATGGGCGGCGCGGGCAAATTCGGACACACCCAGTGTGTCTTGAAGTGGCGCTATTTGTGGGAACGCGAAGCGTGTGATTGGCGTGCCAACATGGGTGCGCGGGCGCGCGTGGACATACCCACTGCGTCCTTGCGTGGAGCTCCCCATGGGGGCACGAGCGCGCGAACGGCGTGCCGAAACTGGAGGCGCGCGCGCATGTGTGGATATATCCATCGTGTCTGATGTGGCGCTCCCGATCGGGGTACGATGCGTGTGAGGGGTGTGCCGAAATGGGTGGCGCGGACTCAATGTGAAGACCCGCGGCGCAATCTTAGGTGAAGCCCCCATACGGGGGCACGAAACATGCGATGGATGATCTGATGGATGTGCTAGTATTGTTTGCGCGGACCAACGTGGACGCCACCAAAGTGGCTATGGGTGGAGTTCCTTATGGGGTCACAAAGCGCGTGAATGGGTGTGCTGAATTGGTGGCGCGGACGCATGTGGACACAACCGATGCGGGCACAGGTGGGGCTCCTTATGGGAGCGCGATACGTGTGAGGGGTAATTCTGCCGACATAGGTGGTGCGGATGCATGCGAACGCGCAGCGTGGCCTGGGGTGGGTCCTCTGTTGGAGATTCGAAGCGTGTGAGGGGCGTGCAGGAATGGCCACGCAGAGGGGCAGAAGCAAGTTTGCGAGAAGGGAGGAGGGCAGAGGGAAGGAAGTTGGCGCGGGGCGCTGCCTCTTCAAAACGATGACCCAACACCACGCGATGGTTGGACAATGACGAAAACGTCCGAGGAAACATTGCCGCCGGATCCCTTAGGTGACTCTCCCGGGGTCAAGGCCCCATTTTCTTGCACGGCCCCTTCCCCGCGCGTTATGGCCGCGATCTTTTGGTCAGCGTGTCGTTCTGCCGGTTCTGGCCCCGCCGCGCTTCGGCGCGACGCGCTGACCAGGCTCCCACTTCTGAACGTCAACGCCCCGAGGTTTTCCCAGCTTCTTGCCCCTGGAGCAAAGCGACGCGCTATGCGCTTGCCAGGCATGGCGCGTCGCAGGTGCCGCCGCCGCGATGCGCTAAGCAAAAGTCCCGACCGTAGCTCGGTACGGCGGCGGCGGCTCGGCCGGCGGCGGCGCGGTCGGCCGAACTTTGGTTGGTGCGGTTAGGTCGTGCCGCGTCGCTTCGCCCCCATCCGTCGAAGACAGAAGACAAATAACAATCCAAATCGGAAGAGTGGTCGGATATGGCCAGGACCCCAGTTAAGGGGAGCTGCTTAGTAATTGGGCCCCGAAGCCCCCAGAATGATTCGTAATCGCTGAACCAGGTCTGCAGTAGCTGTTGTTTTTTCGGATGGTGGCAGTTCCATTTAGTGGGGTGGGGCGGTGCGGCGTCCCCTGGTACACATACTTAAGTTAGGTCACATGAAATCCAGTCCTACCAACGTCCGAAGTGGGTCTGGCGCGGATGGGGCGGTCATGAATTGAGTACTAATGCGCGCAATAGTACGCACCAGTTGCGGGGGGGCGCCACTGCAAGGGCAACAACTATTGCATGTGAAAGCAGGTACACAGCTGCATCCACGCGCAAGTATTGCATCCAGCGCGCAAGCTATTGCACCCAGGCGCCCACGATTGCCAGTGCTATTGCACCTCTCCCCGCGAACCCATCTGCGCCAGACCCACTCCTTTCTAGGGATTCGAACCAAAACAAGCAGCAGTTGATCAACCTTGACGAGGCCCAGGGCTGGTCCGAGCCTGGCCCTCCCGCAGGAGAAGCATCCAAGTCCACCGATCTTCTGAGGTCTAGGTCACCTGCCGGCCGTTTCCAGGACGCCAAGCTAGAACAAGGCGGCCTCGTGGCCCCGTTGCAGCCCTTCGTGGCCCCCTCGCTTTGGACCGCTGGCCCCTTTAGCTGGCCACTTGCCGGCCGTTTCCAGAGGTGTCCCCGTCCCGAGTTGTCCCCAGAATCCCCCGAGAGGCCCAGATGGCCTCCAGAACAGACCTCACGACACCCAGATAGCACCCAGGGCTTCAGCATGGAGCGAAACTCTTGCGCCAGGGACCTCTAGCAACACCCGGCCTCTGAGTCGACGAGCAGGAGACAAAACGCCATACATTTGGCACGAGGGTCCCTTTCAGTGGGTTCGTGTCGTGCCGACTCGGCCTCGAGCGCACCGCGGGCTTTCAAGATTGAGCACCACCATCGGACTGATTTCGTCATCGTCATCGTCATCGTCACTATCGGGCTGACTTACCCAGGCTGGCAATTAAGGACCCCCCCTTCCCGTGAAGCGATAACGCATCCAGCACCTGGAAGCGTTATCTTGGCACCCTGAGGAGGAGAGGAGGAGGAAGAGGAGGAGGAGGAGAATGAGGAGTAAGAGGAGAAAGAGGAGGAGGAGGAGGAATAATAATAATAATAATACTAATAATAATACTAATAATAATAATAATAATAATAATAATAATAATTATAATTATAATAACGGAGAAAAGATAACGCATCCAGCACCTGGAAGTATTAGCCTGGCACGCTGATGAGGAGAGCGGGACGAGGAACAGGACGAGGAGGAGGAGGAAGAGGAGGAGGAGGAGGAGGAGGAAGAAGAAAAACGGTGAAATTTTAACGCATGCAGCACCTGGAAGCGTTATCCTGGCACCCTCCGGAGGAGGAGGAGGAGGAAAAGGAGGAGAAGGAGAAAGAGGAGGGGGAGGAGGAGGATGAATAATGATAATAAGAGTAACAATAAGATAACGAAATAATGCGAAGAAACGGAGGAGGAGGTGGAGGTGGAGGTGGAGGGTCTAACATGGAACGATCTGCGCTATCGGAGAGCTGTGATCGTTCGAGACGGAACGATCCACGCGGCGTCGGGGACCAATATGCCCGAGCCGTCACGGCAGGAGCCCGCCGTGAGCGCTCCTCGCGGTGGGGCTCTTCCTCCCTGGATTTGTCCTCGTTTACGGGCACGTCCACGGGGCATGTTCGGCGGCGAGCCCGGGTGGGAAGTGAGAAGGGGCTGGCCTTCTCAGAAGGTTCGGAAATCCCCAGGCCCTTTGAGGAGTCTCCTGAGCTTTCCCGAGGACACAGGAAACTTCTCTCTGAAGGCGAGCTGTGGCTTCTGAGAAGTCCCGCCGCCTTCTGAGAAGGCGTTATCCTCCTCACTTTCCCCCCATGGGGACCTCGGCGAAGTGGTCCGTGCTCTCGGCCCACGTCAAATAGCAGAAATGCTTCGATTGTAAAACGGAAGTTCTCGGATGTCCGCGCGAGTTCATCGCTTCGGCGCTGGACGCCCCGTGGACGCGCTTCCAGCGCCGACTAGCGAGGTCCTCACGGGCCCACGAAAGTGTACACCTGTCGTTTGTTTTGTTACCCTAGGGATGCCTCAGGAGGTCTTCAGAGGCCCAGGGATGGCTGGATGCGTCGAAGCCTTTTGATCCTCGAGCCTCGGGCCTCGATCTTCCTCGCGGTTGTAGGGTCTGCCTGTTCTGCTGTGTGTCTTCCGGCTGGTCAATGCGGTTGCTCTTGCGGACCGGACCAGAATGACGAGCGGAGGAGAATGAGAAGGAGGAGGAACAGTAGGAGCAGGAGCAGGAGCAGGAGCAGAAGCAGGGGGATGCAGATGCGGATGATGATGAGGAGGAGGAGGAGGAGGAGGAGGAGGAGGAGGGGTATGATGACCAGGGAGGAGGAGAAGTAAGACGAGGAGGGAGAATGCGGAGGAGGAGGAGGAGGAGGAGGAGGAGGAGGAGGAGGAGTGATGAGAAGGAGAGAGGACGGAGGAGGGAATTGCAGTAGAAGAAGGAAGGAGGAGACGAGGAAGGAGGAGGAGGAGGAGGCGGGAAAGGGAGTAAGGATGAGAGAGTGAGGGGAGGGACAAGCTGGGTGCGCTCGCGCCATATCCGATATCTTTTCCCTCCCGCTGATGTTCTTTACTTGCCGACACGTGTCATAGCCGACCTGACCTGGAACTTCACAAACGATCCCCTCGTGCTATGCGCAGTCGGAAAAGGGAAACGTGTGGGACCTGTGCGACCTGTGGGACCCCTGTGGCTTATAGTGCCTGTGAGACTTCCGACACCTGTGGGACGTATGGAACCTGTGGGGCTTGAGGGACCTGTGGGAACTGGGACTTGTGAGACCTGTGGGACCCGACCCGTGGCTCCTGCGGGGCCTGCGGGATCCGTGGGGATTGGGGGACATCTGTGGCACTTGTGAGGCATGCGACACCTCTGGGACCTGCGGGACCTGTCGGACTTGTGGGACCAGTGAGTATGCGAGACCTGCGACACCTATGGGACCTGAGGAGGAGGAGGAGGAGGAGGAGGAGGAGGGGGAGGGGGAGGGGGAGGTTGAGGACAGGGACGATGCTGATTATGCCAATGACGATGTTGATGATGATGATGGTGATGCTGATCATCTCCAGAGCTTGCTCCCAGTTGAGTCCGCATTCTATATTGCTCTGTAGTGTAGCCTTTTTGGTTCTAGTCTTTTCTCCCTGCATGTGGGAGCCGCTTTCCACTTTCCTGCCCCGACTGGTTGATCTGTCTCTCCAGTCTGCCATCTCCGCCGCGGTCTGCGCGCGGCACGATACTGTGGTCAATCTCTCCTGTCCAGCGCCGCCGCCGACGCAGGTTGAGCTGCGTTGCCCAGAGGTGCACGTCCCGCCGATCCACGTGGAGTGCTTATCGGAGGGCAAGGGCGTCATTGGACACCTGGCTTACCTGCTCGCAGGGCTCACCCTTTTCGGAGCGGGCTGGCTCTGTGGTGCGCTGGTGGCAATACCCACGTGGCTGTGCTCCAGGAGGCGTACCCCTCAGGTCGAGACATCGGCCCAGGCTACTCAGCCTTCAGAGGCAGGAGGAACTCTTCAGGATCTTGCTCAGAAGCAGCTCGCGTTGATCAAGGCTCGTCGCCATGGCGAGAGTAGGTGATGTGCTGCTGGTCAAGTACAATGTTGCGGGGCCCGACCTCTGGCATGAGAGGATAGTGCTGGCGGTCCATCCCACTGAGGCAGGGCACTACTATATGCTGACCCCGGACGGGGACGCGTACATCGAGGATTGCTCGCCCGCCTCCGATGACGTCGAGAGGATCCGAGGAGCTACTGGTCTTGGGGATACCCCGCCCGCACTGCAGGGTGCGCCCATCTACCGTTTCAGGGACGTGCCGACAGTGGATGACTTGCGCCAGCAGGTCCTCGACGCGGCGCTGGCCCTCGGTCTCGCGGCTCCTGGCGAGATACCACGGGTGCGCCGAGTGGGGGGAGAAGACCTGGTGCCTCGAGCGGGGCCGCCGCCCCCCCAGGGGCTGGCCGACCCCCGGCCCCCCGGGCAGGGGGTCCAGGCGGCGGGCATCGCCGTGCCGGCCCCTCGAGCGGACCTCGTGTGGGTAGCTGCTGAGGACGCCGAGGATCTGGCAAAGGGCACTGAGGTTGAGATCACGGTGGACACCATCTCTGCGGGCGACAGGGCCATCATGCCATGGAAGGGAGGCTACGTCGCGCTGCGGCAGTTGACTCGCCCCGAGGTGTATCGCTTCACCTACGATGACCTGCGAGTGCAGCCCGTGCAGTTCGATTCGAGCGGAGCACGCAGGGTCACGTTCAGCGAGGGGGTGCAGCGGCAGGATGATACGTTGCCCGCGGGTGGACTTGACCTGCAGGGCCCGCGTACGGCTTCCTGGTTCTGCCGCCACGTGGCAGAGAACGGACCGACGCCCCAGGCGGCCCATGAAGCTTGGCTCCGCAAGGCCAGGCTGCACGAGGGCGATCGCGCCATCCACGAGCATTTCGTTCTGTCGCAGGTGCTCTCAGCCGCGGTGTGCCACGACCAGTTGAATGTGCCGGCCTTGAAGTCCATGGAGCTTGTCATCCGGAGGCTCCAGCTCATCAAGTCGGCCTACGCGCACTCTTCGTCCGCGCCTGACTTCTCGGGTGCGGACCACTTCATGGGCTGGGGGCCAGCCACCGCCTCTGCATCAGTGGCGCCGGAGCTGGCGGCCCATGTGGCTACCAAGTTCAGGGACGAGGCCGCCATCCTCAAGGAGTCGCGGAAGGCTGCTGAGGAGCGGCGTGGACGAGGAGGCGGAGGCAAAGGAGGCAAGGGCGGTGGAGGCAGAGGAGGCACAGCAGGGCTCGCCCCGGCCGACGGGGAGGGGGGCGGATGACCATGCTGCCTTCTGGCGCGCGGGCCTGGTCCACCCGCGGTGCTGTGCCAGAGGACCGAGCATCGGCAGATTTTGATCGGTATGTGGAGGCGAGTCGTCAACGTGATTTGTTTCCTCTGCCAGCTGTCGAGGTTGATGAGCGCCCTGATCCCGGGCTTTCTGCCACCGTCTTCAAGCGTATGTCGAGGAGGCGTTCGAGGCAGCTGCTCGCCAACGGGGTCGTTGAGACGCCCAATGTTTTAGCTTCTCCGGCCGCCATCTCTTCCTTCAGGCCTACGGCTGCCCATCGTGCTGCCCATGGTCAGGTTTTGTCTACGTTGGTGGCAAGGCCTACTTGCACATCATTGTACAAAGACCGCGAAGCCCTACAGGCGCTTTGTGGATCGGAGTTCTCCTATGCTGGGGGGGATTCCAGTTGCAGCGTGGAGCCGTATGATCGAGGCCGGGTCTCGATGCCAGCTGCGGGGGCCTCGCCTCCGTGGCTTACGGACGTCATCGACGACTCCGGCAGAGGCGTAGTCGACGGCTTCACCACCGCGATGCTCCGCTCGCCCGTCGAGATGGGAGCCATCATGGACCAGCAGGCACATATTAAGCCCTACATGGACGTGAGGCTCAAGAGGGACAGGATGCTATACTACCAGTTCGTCCGTGACCTATTCGAGTCCAATCTCGTGGATTTCGGGACGGACGCTTTCGAGACCGTCTACCCGTTCTTCGTACGCAAGAAGTCGGGCAAGCAGCGGCTCGTGTGGGACTGCCGGGTGGCCAACATCCGATGGCGCAGTCCGCCCAAGATCCGCATGGCGAGTGGCTCGGCGTTCGCAGGTTTGCAGATCCCGACGGAGCTGCAGGAGCACGGCATGTGGGGTGCTGGCTCCGATATCGCGGACTACTTCTTTTGGCTCGCCATGCCGCCTGACCTGCGGCCCTTCTTCGCGCTGCCGCCTGTGCCAGGCGCTCTGTTGCTCGAGTGGGGTGTCCCCGCTGCTTTGGGCGGGGCGCTCCATGGCCTTTTGGAGGTCAGACCTCGCCTTCGCTCCGTGCCGATGGGCTGGACTTGGGCGATGTGGCTGGCGCAGCGCGTCCACATACATCAGATCTGTCTAGCGTTGCCCTGGGCGCCCTCGAGACTCATGGAGGAGGGGGCCCCTGTTCCTGAATGGCGCTCGGATCTCCCGGTTCTGAATGTGTATTGTGACAACCTAATGGTCCTTGCGACGTGCCCCAAACTGGCGAGGGAGACTCGGGATGCCGTCATTGTCCAGCTCGTCAAGTCAGGCTTTGTCGTTCACGAGGTCTTCGGTCCTGTTAGGCAGTTCACCGCTCTGGGTTACTATATCGACGGGGACGCTATGAAGGTCTGGGTCGATCCGATGCGCAGGGAGCGAATTGCCGCCGCTGCCCGAGCTCTGGCGCGACGGCCTCGGATTACAGGTTTGGCGCTGAGTCGGTTCATCGGTCATTGCATTGCCGCCTTTCTCATCTTCCGCCCGGGCCTCTCGATATTTAGGCGCATGTATGACTTCGCTGCTAAGTTGGGGGCCGCTCCAGGACGTCTCTGGACTGAGGCCGCTCACGAGGCTCGTCAGATATCGTATCTCATCCAGGTCACCATGTCGGATCTCTGCCTGGAGTGGTCGGAGAGGGTCCTCGCTACCGATGCGTGCCTGTCGGGGTTTGCCGTTGCTGCTACGCGTTGGCCTCAGGAGGTCATCAAGGAGTACGGGTCTGTCCGAGAGAAATGGAGGTATCGGAGTCGTCTGCCGTCTGCGACTGCACCTCGCGATGCTGCCCTGCCTGCCTTCGGCGACCCTTTCAGTGACATCAACACCGTAAAGACCATCGCCGAGCCGAAAGCTATTTCGACGTACGAGCCGAACCCCGATTTCGCCGAGATCGACCCGCGATACCTCGGCAAGGAAGACTGGAAGTTACAGTATGCCTCAAGGTTTCGTGGTCGTGATGGCCCTATCTCAGTACTAGAGAGTGTCGGCATGGCCTCTGGGGTTCGCCATACTACGAGGGGCCTCTATGGGTTTCGAAGGCGACACCTCTTACTTGGGGACAATCTGGGGACTGTGCTGGCCATGGAGAAGGGCAGGTCGTCGTCTTTCTCTCTCAACAAGTCATGCCGTAAGACCGCAGCCTTTTCAGTGGCTTCGGGGTCGCGCTACGTGTACCGCTGGATCCCCTCAGAGAGCAACCATGCCGACGAGGGCTCCCGCCTCTGGGAGCCGCGCCGGCGCTCCGCCGGTGCAGCGGACCCTCCGCCCGGCGCAGGGGCCGCCATCTCGCTCGCGGAGTGGCTGGAGCTGGACGAAGAGGACGACGCTCGCCTCTGGGGACGCCACGAGAGAGGCCCGGGTAGCCTCCCGCGCTTCGCTGGCGGGCAGCGCCCGGGCCAAGGCCGTGGAGGGGCGGGACACCTTCCTCGAGTCCAGTTCGGTGAGCACCAAGACGTACAAGGATTACGATCAGCGCCACTCGGATTTCCAGGAGTGGATCGCTCAGAACCGGCTGTCGATCAAGTTGGAGAGGCAGCCCGACCTCGTGCTCACGGACTACATCAACCACATGTGGTCGACGGGGCACGACGTCTCGGAGGGATCGAAGGTGCTGGCTGCGTACATGTACTTCTACCCCGACTACTCGAAGGCCGGGAGGAATGTGCTCCCGCGGGCCCGCAAGGCCCTCCGGGGCTGGAGGAGGCTCGAGCCGGGCAGGACCAGGCCGCCGATTCCGCTGCACCTGCTCGCGCTGCTGTGGCTCGAGATGATCCACATGGGGTCCCCTCTCATGGCTCTGGCGCTGGTCACGATGTGGGTCGCATACCTGCGGCCAGGGGAGGCCATGAGGTTGAAGGAGAAGGCCCTAGTCTCCCCGCCGCGCACTTCTGTTTCGGCCCTGTGGAGTCTGCACATGCACGAGGAGCTGGATCAGCACCCTTCCAAGGTCAACCACTTCAAGGAGAGCCTGGTGCTGGACTCTGCCGACCTCCCATGGCTGGGAGACCTGCTGGCAGGACTCAGGAAGGGGCAACCAGACAGGCTGTTCTTCGAGTTCAAGTACCCGCTCCTCGGCCAGGCTATGTTGGGAGCGGCCAAGAAGGTCGGTCTGGAGAAGCTCAAGATCACCGCTTACCACATGAGGCACTCCGGCCCCAGCCACGACATCCTGTTCAAGAGAAGATCGTTGGCAAGCGTCAAGGCGCGGGGTCGGTGGCTCTCCGATCGCACGGTGAGGCGGTACGAAGCCCACGGGCGCCTCCTCCAACAACAGGCAAAGGTCTCGGACGACACGAACATGAAAGGTGCCCTGGCTTTAGACAAGTTGAAGGACGCATTCCACACCTCTTTGTTCCCACGGGCCGCCGCCTCGTCCAGGGGTGCCGGGCCGTCGAGGTCTTCTCAGGCTGTGGGAGGCTCTCGCAAGCTCTCGCCTGCGCCGGTGTCCCAGCAGAGGCCTGGGACATCGAGCAAGGCGAGGCGGCTGATTTTTTGAGGACTGAGTCTTTACGCAAGCTGGAAAAAGAGATTGTGGACCGCGTCATCTGTTTCGTCTGGTTTGGTCTTCCTTGTCAGACATGGTCCAGAGCCAGGCGCTGGGACGGGCGAGGGCCAGGTCCGCTTAGAGATGATGATACCCACCTGTACGGGCTGCCTGATCTCTCGCCTGGTGATGCAGGCAAAGTGCGTTTGCATAATCTACTTTTGAAGCAGATGGCTAGAATTTTTAGGCTGGCAGCGGAGTGTGGCTGCCCTTGTGCCCTTGAGAATCCAGCCACGAGCCGGGTCTGGCTCACCAAAGAAGTCAGGTCGTTGTCGCTCCTGCCAACGGCCAACATGCAGGTAACAGACTTTTGCCAATTTGGGATGCCTTGGAAGAAGGCCACCAAAATCCTTTTTGTGAACTGGCCACCGCTTGCCTTGC